TAAGGTACATTTTTACTCCTACAATACTCCGCAAAAGTAGCGGGATCTCTGTAACTCAAGAACCATGATAGCCAGAGACTTCTATTTTGTGTGTTCATAACTCTTGCCGAATACTGATCACCCACCAAGTTTAGGCCTCTTTTACTGCATGGTTCGTACGATATAAGCGATTTTTATGTCTTTTTCGTACATACATTTTACATACATTAGTAGCTAAGATGAATAGAAAATTGTGTCGAAAAAAATTTATTTTCACAGTGAAATTGTTCAATTTCCCGGAAATAAGAACGTGCCATGTGCTCGTCAACGGTATATCAACGACCAATTTCTAGTGCCATGTATCGCATACCTATTACACAATCCTTAAAAACATTCTTCATTGTTAGTGGCCTCTGGTGTATTCTGCTAAGTGTTCTTGGTTTTGGATTAGAAATTGGTAGGGTTATTGAACTTGTTATCGCGGATTTTGGGCAGGTGGTTTTATGATTGGATGCGGTATAAATGCTCTTTTTGCATCGTGTCGACCGTATTATGCACTGAACCGATTAATTGTCTCATTTACAGTTGCTCTCGTTTTGATTATAGTTGCTCTTATACTTTCAGTTATGAATTTGATAGTAATTGATTATTGTCTTCTGAGTTGGTATAATACTTGTAATTCAACGACGGGACGATTAATTAACACCAGTATATTAGTTATATTTATTGTGGCATTAATTCAACCAATTGTCAATCTTGTTGTTACGTCAATAGCAGGAAGACGAACCGCTATGTCATCATCAACACCTGCTCCATAAAATAATAAACACAATCATTATATCACATTTATTTGTATCTCTTTTTACTAATTATATGTAAAATTCTTACTAAATACAGAAATATACCACAAATAATTTCTGTTTGATAAGGTTCTCTTTGAAGACTTCCTTTGAACATGATTACATCTAATTTTAAAGATGCTCTTCTTCTTTTTATCAATCCTATATGCACATTTACCATTAAAATTAAAAATCTTTTTCATAAATAGAGAGTAACTTGTGACTATCGATCCAATTAATCTTGATGAAACATGGTGTGTAACTGTAACTCACATGCGATGCAAAAGTAACTGGACAAAATGTCTCTCCATTTTCTTGTGGTAAAGTACGTTTTGAGAATATCAAAAATAAGCTATTTTGAATGCATACTTCGGGAGTTTTTGAATTATGTGTTCAGAAATATTCTATCGCTTTTAGTCTTCTGGCAGTGAGCGAATCTTTGTTATGACCAAAAATTTAGGCTGAACACTCTTAAAAAAATGTGTTCTTCAGTTTTTCAAAGTAGAGATGTGCATGGGTACCATTTTCGTACTCGTATTCGACCCGAAAATTTTTTTTCCGCCCGTACCCGTCAACTTTGTACCCGTACCTAGAACCCTGCAGGTTACGAATTTTTGATAACATACAACCTAACCTGTAAAAATTTCCACAACCTAAACCTAGCCTAACCTATCATATGATGAGTACAACAGATTTTTCTCAACTACCTTACACTGAAATGGCAAACTAAACACAGCATTAGATAGCCCGTAAAATTCTCTACAAACTGAGCTACTCAGAATATCTTCACTGGTGGGACCAGTCATCAAGAACATACGAAACAAGCATTCGAGGGCAGAAAACAGCTCTAAAATACTCCTTTCGTAACTTTTTCTGTCATAATGAAAAATATACATTTTTGAGAAATATACTGTTAGATAGCCCGTGAAATTCTCTACAAGGTGAGCTGGTCACAATGTCCAGACAGGTGTGGCGAGTCATTAAAGATACGGAAAAGAAGCTTCTAGGTGTTATATAATTAGTACAGTGTGTCATAATCACAAGAACTCCCTTATTTTTGACTTTTTAGTAAAAGCTGGAACCAATCTGAATAATGTTTTGAATAGCCCGAAGATTTTTCTATCAGATGAGGTGCATATCGCCCTTTCATGAGAAAAGTTGATGACAGAGCTTCTGGAAAACCTGACCGCTGGAAAACCAAGTCCTTAGTATTTGGTCAGAAAATTTTGCAAACCATGTAGTCTGATAGAGTGAAGACATCTGAGCAAAATAAGATATCTCCCTGCATTCTATAGTGGTTTTTCAACGCGGGGAACAAGCATTCGTAGCTATGGCCCTTTGTAGCTAGTGGTAAATTGACTGCAGTTACGTGAAAAAGCACTATAGAATGCAGGGAGATATCTTATTTTGCTCAGATGTCTTCACTCTATCAGACTACATGGTTTGCAAAATTTTCTGACCAAATACTAAGGACTTGGTTTTCCAGAAGCTCTATTATCAACTTTTCTCATGAAAGGGCGATATGCACCTCATCTGATAGAAAAATCTTCGGGCTATTCAAAACATTATTCAGATTGGTTCCAGCTTTTACTAAAAAGTCAAAAATAAGGGAAGCGTACATTCTCGAAACCTCTTTCAAAGTGTTTTTTAACCACTTTCAAATGTCATAAATGTGCTGATTACATTTCTTACTATGAGGATGGTACCACTCCCATCGAATATTAAGCATTTATGAGGATCCCTTTTTATATTCGAGCTCCTAATAAAGCACCTTATAATGATCTATTTCATCATAACCGACGGCAAGAAATTCTCGCCTCTTTTATAACTACTTTAAAAGCGTTCTTTTGTCATTGGCACACATATTGGCAGATTTGAAGGAGTATGTAGAAGTCAGCGTAAGGCTTTTGACAAGTAAAATTCTTGAGAAGAAAAGTAAATTCAGATAGTGTTTCAATAGCTCAACGGTTGGAATACTGGTCTAGATTGCCAGCATCTACTCTTGATCCCAAATGAAGACATACTTTTCTGCCTGTTTATCTAACGACAGTCGATAGAGTGAAAAAATTCTGTTAATACGTTTTGCCGTAAAAATTGATCACTGTTGACAGTTATTCTTACCTGTCTTGCATATATCCTTTCGACCACATTCTAGATTCTCCTTCGTATAACTCGGGAAGAAAAGAACGTCATTTGTTTCACTAGCTGTGTGAAATTGAGCTTAAGGCTGTCAGATTTAACGTTAATTAACGTTAATTTTCGTTTAACGTAAAATACGTTAACGTTGATTCTAACGTAAACGTAAAGTACGTTAACGTTAATGTGACAGTTCTAATTGAGCTGAGAACCAGAAAACGAACAGAATAACAATCAGCACCAGTGATATTTGTCTCAGTAGTAGAGAAAAGAAGTTGCTGCAAATACTATACACAGTTCGCACAAACTGCGTTCTATTAGTGGTCAATATCAACAAAACGCCCATATTATCGCATTTGTTTTCTTTCTGATATGTTTTCAGTCACATTTTATATTTCCTTTCTCAAAGGTCAATCATTGACCTTGATTAGATCAAGCCTTTATTTCAAGAAAATAACACCAACACAGGAAAAATACAAAAGGTGCACTGGTAACAAAAAGAAATAACATGGTTTCGCTTGTATCTCTCTATGCAGAAGCCTCAGCTTAAACTTCAGTCAAGATTTATTTTCAATTCAATATAGAGTAAGTGAATTGTTAATTGACGAATCCCTTCATTCCACCCATGGGCAAAAAGAAAGATTTGCTTTACCAGTAGACACGCGTGAATTCGATATAGTATATTATAGATACCGATAAGTCGATTCCATTACATCAGTTAAGCGCAATAGAAGACAAAATCAAGGCAATATTATCAGAGAGAAATATTCTGGCAAAGTTGTTCGGTTATCGAACGCGGCCACGAGTTTAGATAAAAATGAAAACTGTTTGAACGGTGATATCTACGCACAAGTAACATACGAACATTCGAGCATGTTTATTGTAATACTAAAGGGAGGCGAAAATAGCTGAAAAAATTACTTTTCACAATGTTTGATACACGTGTTTTGTAGCACACAAATATATGTAAAGTCATTTAAAAGTTATTGATAGAGACGTGGAAGAGTTCAAGTGTCATTTGAATCAACCCATTCTGGAAATGTCGCTGTCAGTTTCCATGTCTTCTAATTGCTGATCTGTATCGAATCGACGAATACCTTCTATATTGAAATCATGTTCATCAAATCCATCTCGATCATATCCCATATCATTGAAACCCTTCAAATTGTATCCAGCCCTATTGTACCCATCTTTGTTAAGTCCAATTACATTAAACCCAGAGCGATCCATACCAAATGAATTAAATCCATCCTGATTATAACCTTGTTTGTCCAGCCCAATCTGATTATAACCGTCAGCATTAAATCCATCTATGTCGTACCCTTGTCTATCAAATCCTAAGGTATTAAACCCTCCAGCATTATATCCGGTTCTATGAAATCCGTCTGAATTGTATCCATCACGATTAAAACCGGATTTATCAAATCCGTCAGCATCGAAACCCAACGGGTCGTAACCTTGTTCGTCAAATGCTTAATGAAGAGATTTGTCATAAAAGATGATTTTCAGCAAGCAAGTCTGCGTGATGTGCTGTTTTCTCTTGGATCACTTACTTGTTGTTTGCTGACGTACTTCATTCAAATAACAATCCGCTGCATCAACGTGTTCTTTCTGTGCATCAGTTAGAGCACGCTGAGCTCTTGCCATCGCTTTGGCTTTTCCAAATATATTTGTAGCCACCTAAAAACACGAGAAGATTTTAGATAAATATGTAAATGTTTCATGCTTACCTGATGTATTTGCTGCTGCTATTTTGAAACTACAAACGGTATGTATATCGATGTATCGCTTGACTCACACTGAAAAGGAAAAGACTGTAGGCCGGGATGCTACAGTAAAACACTACATGAATCTCTCCAAACAGGAAAAAAATCATGTAGCAGGTCCTTTCGTCTGTTACATTTATCAAGCATGAGATAGATGTACTGGAATACATGAAAACTAGCTGCATAAATTCAGTTTAGCTTCAATTGGGTGCAGCTAGCTGCAGTTAGGACTGTCACATTAATGTTACGTTAAAATTCTTTTCTTTTGAGAATAATCCCGCAAAAGTAGCGACATCCTTGTCGCTCAAGAACCATGATAGCTAGAGATTTCTAATAGACTGTCTAGCCAAAGTATGAAGGTTAACTATTGTGTGGTTCTTGAAATTCATTGTGAACGAGCACCCGCGATTGAAACATACGTAGAAGAGCAAGAGTAAGGAACTAAGGGTCGCTCTTTCTGCTATAGAATCTGCATTCAATGTACATCCTACTCATGAAAAATAATCATAGAAACCTATGGCTCCGAAAATCCTATGTAAAACGTTTGTCAGAAAGATCACACACTCACCCCTGACCTTCGCCATGTCACTTATTTTGCAATCCTTCAACTGATACCAAGCAAAAAATTACCCATTTCACTTTGATAATAATCAGATGTCGCTAGACACCTGTAGGCACGGCGATTACTTCAATTGTTCTACAGGATATAAGCAGAAGTGCACATTTTCCTTTTGTAGTTTTCTACAAAAGTGAAATGTGTAATTTTCTGCTTGATATCAGTAGAAGGATTGTTGTTGTGCGTTTAATAAACTTTAATAATGTTCCATAAGTCCATTTGTTCTAATCGAAATTCGATTTTTGAATTTATTTCTTGTCGTTTTATATTTGATGCTAAAATAATCAATTTAAAACAAATGATATATATGTATGATTACTTTCAACTTTTTTCTACTAGATATAAGCAATGCTTTGGGTTTATCAGCTATCAGCGGAACGGACAGCCATCATCCGCTTAGATATTCTAACCATTATAAACCAGAGATCGGTACAGATCCAACCTTTTTGAAGTTTCTCTACGAGCCGGATCGATAAACAATGGTCAACCACACCACATGGCGTTAGGTTAAAATGAGTGGAAACATGCGAAATAATTGACATATTCCATCTGAATTGAAATTTTTCTAAGCGCTGGATATATTAACCAACAATAAACTCGTGAATGATGTAATCATCAGTAAAGATTAGAGGTATCAAATGAGGTAATTTTCATATCATATTAAACAGACTTTTGATGGAGAAAGAACCAATGAATGCGAAAACCACAATTGATAAACTTTAATAATTTTCAGTGTATATGTAGAAATATCTTTTTCAAGTTAAATGTGCAAATATTTCTAGCTGATTCTCTTGACTGATAGTCTAGGGCCATACAAAAGAAATGTTCATCTGTCTGTCCGCAGTAGACGAGTGACATCTGCTTATACGCTCGTCCCGTAATACTACGCCCCACCATGTTCATACGCGAACAATCAATGTAAATTAAAGGAAAGATGGGTTTTTGATTGCAAATTTTCCTTCACATTTTTCATCATATAGGAAGCATTTGTCAAATTTGCCGCCGCTACTAAAAATTTCAGTCATTGAATTTGGCACATTTTGTCTGCTGGCACCTACTCTGTGGGATGTGAACACATTCTTCAATGAATGTGTTGTATGGTTCATAGTAAATATTTATTCCTTTGTGTGAAACTCTAGGGTCAAACAAAGGAAATGTCCGTCCATCCGTACGCAGTAGGTGAGTGACATCTTCGTACCCGCCAGCCGTTGGTAGGGTGCTTTTGGTAGTAGTTTTCTTTTCAATCGGCTTTATTCTGTGTTTTCCAGATGCAGCCTGGTTTATTGTTTGTTTTTTAAGGTTGTATGTATGAGAGTATCAGAATTTCCGAAATTTTTTCTAAAGGGGTTGTCAAAACGAAAACTAGTGCATCGTGTTCAGCATAGTCGAAAACCTTGTGCGCCATGTGGATCATGGCGTTTTTTGAAAAAAAAGATTTTTAAAGTTTTCGAAAGAGACTCCAGCTGGATCGAACCCGTCTCCAAAGAAATATATATATATACATATATGTTTTCTTATCGTCTCTGTAGTTCACTGAGCCACGAATCTATACTTACTATCTGTTCTTCTATTAACTATAGATGACTGAAGAAAAAACAATGAGCACTCGAATTTTTTCACTATTTTCTTCTGGTTAAGAAGCGGGCGCTTCTTCAGCAGATGCAGCTAGCTAATTTCTTATGAAATTTCATGCTTGGGATAAGATAAATAAAATAGAAATGGACAGAAAACTAACGAGGAAAGGACACCAAGTGTGCAATCGCTTTTGAGCCGTAAGCTAGTGCACAGTAGGTAATCGAGTACGCTGAATCCGAATATGACAATGATTTGGGCAGTTAGGCCCTCAGAGACCCGTTTTCTGGAAAACCAGTTTCTCAGGCCAAAAACGTTTTTTCTTCAAAAAAAATTCCAATCCGCCCAGATTAAAGAGCATGTCGCGAAACCTATAAAAAACATGTTTTGACCATTTTCCGAGAGATTTGGAAGGATTTCTGGAGGGCAAAACTTTGCGTAAGGCAAATCACGGTTTTCGCTTTTCAGTAAAAAATCAACCATTTATAGGTAATCAATTACGCAGATTCTGAATATAATTAACTTTCAGTTGTCGCGTGACGACGAAGGCCTGGGGTGTGCAACTGTAGCTTTCTGACTGCTTATTTCCAAACGGTAGAAATTTTTTATAATACAATTTCATCAATATCGTTCGTCTCTTGTCGTTTCGTTCCGTGATCTTGTAGATATTTACGAAATCGACTTAAATACGATTGAGCTGGAAGTGACTTATATTGAGCATGTACAGTCTTCCATGAACGACGTCGTTTTCGTTTTTATCTTTAGCATCTGCGAAGTCGACTACCTCTCGCATGAAATCTAACGAGTAGTTGGCCAACTGACGCTTTTCTTTCTCGCTTTTACTTTCTTCTCCATCGACTTCTCCCTCCGATTCAGAGTGATTATCGTGATGACCCTCTTCTTCGTCACTGCTGGTGCTGTAATCAAAAGGGTCATCGTGGACGTCCAGCGTAGTTTCTTCTTCATAACGATATGTCGTAGAATTTTTGACAGATTTGATCGTTTCATATAGGTTTTCTGCGAACTGACATTCTTTTTGAGATGGTGGCGATGACGAATTCAAACTTAAATTCTTATTGACTAAACCACTCAAGTAATTTACTATGTTTGAAACGTTCATGGTTGCAAAAGTGAAAAGACGCAAGGGTGTTAGCAGGAATACCTTAAAGGTCGAGTCTGCTTACTGGAGAGTTTCAATTTAAACCAAATATTCCGCGAAGCAAACCTGTTAGCTTTTGCTCATTCCTGTCTGATACCTGTTAATGATATTTAGAATCTGCGTAATTGATTACCTATAAATGGTTGATTTTTTTGATTTTAAAGAAGGTGACCTTGTTCTGATGGCTAACACCTCAGGATCAGCCTTAGGCAAATGGGCCGTTCCTAAATTGGCTCCTAAATGGATCGGTCCTTTTCGAATTTCACGCAAGATTGGTCCTCTAGACTATGAACTGGTTTCTTTAGAGGATGGTGCGGTTCTTTCGTCTATTCATGTCGAAAGACTGAAACCGTATCATCGTTCATCGTCAATTCTAGTCATAAGGGAACTAATTTGAGCCTCTCACTGTACATTTAAATACTCATATTCATTAGCTGTACTCTTCTTTTTGCTAGATTTTGCTTCTTCGTGTTGTATTGCAGTGTGCAATATCGCTAACTGTTCCAGTTGCATTGTGCAACAC